GTAGAGAGAGTTTGATGCTTCTGGATTATTTGCGCTGCCCATAAACAGGAGGAAGACATATGAGATCACTGAACACAAACGGCAACTGGCAACAGGCTAATACTTTCCCATAGGATTTTTTAAGTCATAATAAATTCTTAATATTACTAGGTTTTTCAGCTTTTGCTTGGATTTAGTTATCTGGATTCCTGTATATCCTGTATATCCTGGCTGATACTTAGGTTAATCCAGACTCATCAGTTTTGGATCCCCTCTGGACTGTGAAAGGCATTCTTGCTAAATACTATGTCCATAGTTCTAGGATGTATTTTAACCTGTCTGGTTATAATTTATTGAGTTCTTATCTTACCCTGACTAAGTGTGAATTAATTTATAATATGTAATATAGGCTGGTGATTAATACTGAATTATAACAACTCATTGGCCCACTACTAATACTGGATTTTTAATTTATTAAACTATCTTTGTGTTAAGTACTATAGAAGTTTCAAAAGTTAATACTCAGAATTTAGACCATGCATTTTCTCATTTAGCAGCTTGTGTAGAACATTTATCTGTGTGAAGAAGGGGTAAACCTAAGAAAATACAGTTGCTTTTATAACAACGTGATTCCATAGAAATTTGTTTTAAATTAATTTTCTAAGGTGCCTGTAGTAGAAAGACAGTTCACCAAAACTATTAAGGATAGAATTGCAGGGCTGGTTTAAAATCCAGTCCAAATTCTATTTCATTCAGTGCAATATTTCCATTAGATTTTATTAATGTCCAGGAATATAAAACAAGATTTCTTTTTTGCTCTCTTTGTGAGTTGTTCTAGTAAACAAGGCACGTGTATACTTTTGTGTCCTTTTTTAAAGCCATTAATCCACTGGATTGATTACTACATTGTGGTATCTTTGTAATTTAGAACTACCTGTGGCTCTCAGGAACAGAAAGGTTAAAGGAAGTGAATGAAAGATTGCAAATCTTTCAAAGCAATGACCTGATAGTTATTTTACATCACTTTGTGATCACTTTGTTAAATACACTATTATCAACAAAAAATGGATATATGTACTGATAGGAAGAATCAGCTGAATAAATGCAATACATAAACCAAAAAAGTGCTCATCTACATTTTTTTTCTAGCCTTGTGTTTTGTTCCTTCTTAACAAGGGAGAGAGATACTACTGTTCTTTCAAAAAATTAATGGGTTAATATATTGACAGCCCTGATTTTTAGTGTCATAATCATAATTCTAAGTTTAGCCAAAGGAGAATAAACTTGACATGTCACCCATGGTAAACGCTAGCTTTATTCACAGCAGTGCTGCAGAAGGTATCTGTATAGTGGTTACTACGAAGGTCTCATAAAGGATGGAGGTAACAGGCACTGAGCCTGCAGATTAAAAACTCATTTAATAACAATAAAAAGAGCTTGTCTGGCTCATCTTGGTTACATTTAAAATGTCTTTTATATGCATTGGATTTATACTGATTGAAAACTCACCGCTTCTTTTATGTGGCTGAATAATTAAGACTGATGATGTTAGTCTGGGCCTGTAGACTTAAAAGAGAGAGAAACACATTGTTAAATCTACGATAACGCTTGCACTATTGAACCAGCATAACTTGATTTGTCATTGAAGTCTCTGAAAGTGTTGTAAATGACATAGATTGCCATCATAAGGTGTTCACAGGAGCTGTTCAATATTGAAAGTAAACATAGGTCTGCTTTGCTGTCTGTCATTCTTCAAGCTGTCTGAGAGCAAGACAAATCTCTGGAATAGCTTTGGTGGTAGAATAAACCTGATTAACAAATTTTGTAAGACATCCTGAAATGACAATTAAACAGCATGATGCAGAATCGTAAACACAAGTGGCCAGTATTATCATATGCTGTTTAGAAAAGCACAGATAGTCAATAAGTCATGCAGTTGATTATTGTACTTATTCATCTGTGGGTTGCTGGGGCACTAGCAATGTAATTCAATCTTGAAGGTTTGTTATTGTTTAGACCACATTGTAAAATCTATTGATTATCCATGTGCAGCATGATTTATTTGTTCATGTAATATTTGTGCTCTTGGTAATAGGAAACTGCAGCCATAGATTGTAACAGACGTTTTAGAGCACATACTTTATGGTTTTCATCTAGGAAAAGTAATAATAAAAAATTGAGAAGGGTCATAAAAACCTTATTCATGTCATTCTAAAAAGATTATTATAACATCATTATTTTACTAACATTACCTACTTTAACAAAATTCATCTGAAGCATTGGTAAAATTTGTGTAGAAGACTGAATCTACAGTTACAAAAACAGCCATTTTCCTAGGAGGCTTTAATATTCTTCACGCTTTATTATTTTAAAACTATCTAAACCAAGAATCAATTTGACTTAAATTTTTGTCTTTGTTATTCTGGCTGCTCCAAGCTTTTATATGAAGGGTTCTTGAGTCAGTGATGACTGGGTATCTAGAATTTAGTTCAGTTGTCTAGGCACAGCCATCTAGGACCATTTTAAATGCAGAGCATCCACAGAAAGCCGGCAGATGTGACACAGGACCTGCAGGATACCCATGGCCTTCTGAACAGGCAGATAAACGGCATCTACCATTAAAAATGGTACTAAACACTCTTAGGCAACTAAATAAAGCCTCCATAGTAGGATTGTACTTTCTTTGCATTCCTTGCTCCCTCCAATAAAAATGAGACATAATGTACAGGAGGATATTTAGGGCTGTAATTTAGCTGTCCATGTATATGTGCCTCCATGTTGAGCTAACTGTCCAAACTGCCTTTATAGCTGGTGGAGATCTCATCCTCAGTTCAGTCACCTTAAAGTGGGCATCTTGATCAATTTAATGTGGCCTGTCTGATATGTTGTGTCTCATCTGCTGCTCCGGAAGGACGTGGGTCTCCCATACACATGTGCACACCTACAAACATGGGGTGCAGTGCAGGTGTCTGAGGTACAATCTGGCATGAGGTGCTGAGGTTGAGAAAAGTCACAGAGCCGGTGGTGATGCAGGCAGCTGTGGTCTACAGAGTTACTCAGCTGGCACTTCTGCCTGTCAGCTCGTGGGATAAACTGAAGAGGCTTTGCTGTGTTGGATGGGTCTCCATTGGTGGGAGCCTAGCTCCATGCAGGGTCCTGACTTCAGATGTCTGACTTTTGAAAGAAATCAAACCCTTTGCTGAATCATTGTGATATTTGGCACGTATGAATGATTATAGTGAAATTCACTTTAGGAGAGATGCACATATGTATGTGCCATAGTAATGCAAAAAAAAAAAGACAAATGGGATGCACTTTCCTACTCTTTACTGTGGGCAGTCAACACTTTTTTTCTTACTTATGTGAATGTTAGAGGAATGGAAAAGAGAGAGATAGCAAAATCAGTCTTAAGGGTGGTGTGAAATATGAAAGTGTTAATAGATATTGGGTAGCAGAGGAATAGAGGTTGATCACTCTGATTTATAAGCATGTATCTCATTTTTATTGGAGAAAACAAAGAATGCGTAGAAAGTATAAGCAGATTAGTTTAATATGTCTTCTCTGTGATCTTTTCACAAAGCGTGCGATTTCAAACCCACTGAAGTCAGTGAGAATCATTTCACTGACCTGAACAAGGTTTTTATCAGAACATAAGACATTTATTCTTATGCATAGATATATATTAAAGATGTGAAGCGAGTCTTGTTATTATGTTAAAATTGTTCTGAGTTTTCTACTATTCCTTTCAGTCAGTGACTTAACATCAGACTTCAGTTTGCTTCAGTAATTGCCTGACATAATTTGACACTATTTGATTCTGCCTATTTTTAACATCACTATTTGGACAGTATTAATTGTACTTCATGCTTTTCCTCACTTTATGTCTATAGAGTCCCATTAAGAAAAAAAAAAAAAAAAGAAAAAATAAATACATGAAAACTTGTAAATCTTGAATGAATAAAATAAAGTTACTGAATCATAGCCATCCAGCCGATAAAATGGGTTAATACTTGTAATATGTGTTTCTATGTATTTTGATTCTGAAGCCTAAGGTAAGTTTCCTTTTGATCTATGTATTGCTCCTTTGCCTTCCCTCAAGTGCAAGCTTCTCAGGCAGATCTAGGAAATTCCTCAATGCAGACACTCTTTTTCTGTTTTGAAAACCAATATTTTTCCTTACCTGCAAATCATAGATCAAGTCAGGAGAGAATACTTCTCCAGTATATTTTACCTGTTTTATTAAAAACTACTCAGTGTACTTAAGAATTGCCACCTAACACATGAAATGAAATGTAAGTTTGTCCATTCAGGCTTTACCGGTTATGCAGATCTTGAGGCTTAGAGAGGGTGTATCCATCACAGTGCCCGAGGAGAGCAATTCTGCACGTTCCAGCACTTTGCTTGACCATAGCAATTGCCAGACCAAACAGCATTGTTTGAAAGCACATTCTCATGTCTGTTTGGTACATCTCCCTCCTTTGGAAGACAAGAGGACAAAACTGTTTGATCTTTTAAAAGTTGAAGTTTTAATGGAATGGTAGAGTTGTTTAAATTGTTTAGTGTTACTTTTGCCCATCCATTTAGGATGGTAAGAGCAATGACTTGAAGTGGTGTGACTGAGAGCGGTTAACTTTCTATTGCAACCTGCAGAATGAGTCGTGAGATGAAAGCACTAATGTATGTATATCCGTAGACAGATACAGTAGGGCTTTATTTTATTTTGTAACTTAATAACTCAGCTTGCAATCGATTACCTTTTGTATTTTTTTAGACTGTATTTAATGTATCTTGCCAAGAAAACATATGGATTATTAATTGTGTTGTAGCATTACTTGTAAGGTGTTTGCCTATATACAAAAGACAGTTGTCACAGTTTGTGAGAAGTTTGTCTCTTCATAAATTCTAATGCAAAAATGCATTCAGGATAAATGTAAGATGTTCTGATGTAATTGTTTTAAGTTCTTACTCTAATTTCTTACTTTTTAAACCTTAAAAATCATGAGCTTTTTTTTTTATTATAGAAACCTTTGAAATGCTTATCAGACTGGCTGAGAATTACACAAGCACACTTTTCTGCAATGCATATAGAAACATGGCTGCTGAGGCTACTACATGTGTTCAGGAGTTTTTCACAGATGTTGGACTCTTCATATTTGGCACAGACGTCAGCACAGAGGAATTTGTCAACAGATTTTTTGATACCCTGTTCCCAGTAGTCTACAACCACGTGATTAACCCCGGTCTGACTGACATTTCACTGGAATATGTGGAGTGCCTCCGAATGGCAAGAAGAGCCATCAGGCCCTTTGGTAACGTTCCCAAAAAGGCCATAGGACAAATGAGAAGATCACTGTTACCCAGCCGGACTTTCCTGCAGGCTCTGAATTTGGGGATTGAAGTGATCAATACGACAGATCATCTGCATTTCTCCAAAGACTGCAGCAGAGCTTTACTGAGAATGCAGTACTGTCCCCATTGCCAAGGGCTGACTTTAAGTAAGCCCTGCATGGGCTACTGCCTCAACGTCATCCGAGGCTGCTTAGCTAACATGGCAGAAGTTGACCTTCATTGGCGGGGGTATATTCAGTCCCTGGAGGAGCTCTCAAGTGCCATGAGTGGAACATACGACATTGAGCACGTGCTTCTAAACTTTCATTCACTTGTTAATGACGCTCTTGTGCAGGCTCGTATCAATGGGCCAGAATTATCTGAGCAGGTAAGGAGCTGTTTTTATCCACGCTTGGTGCAAACATGACACTAAGAGAAGTAACACAGGTAACTATTACTTGTTTGACTGTTTTCATGGTGATGAACACATTCGTGTCCAAGTTCAGCTTTATTCGACAATGCGTTTTTCCAGCACTGCCAGTTTTTATTTTAATCATGCACATGGCCTGCTAATTTCCCATATTCTATTCACAAGTTTAACATCAAGTGGAGATTCAACATTTTTACAGTAAAAGCTTTTCAAAATGAAAAGAATTCTTGTGCGGAATTTATCTTTTCCCATTTCCCATGAAACTACAGCTTTTTTGAAAATTTTGCTGAGTGAAAATTTTTTTTGCACAAACCAATGGAAACTTCTATTCCTTCACTCTTTTTATTTAGAAGTTAACATTTTCAGTAGATGCACTGAATAGCTTTAGGTTTAACTTTACAACTGCGTCTGTTAAGTTCTGCTGAACAAGAGTGAACAATGGAATGTGTCATTAACTTTGGAAGCTTAAAATATTAATGAGAGGAAAGTAAATTATCTGGTGAAAAACTAATTCCACAAATATTCTATAAAAACAGAATTGAATAATAATCTGACATTTGTGTAAATGAGTGTGTTAAATCTCGGCAATAATATTTGTTTGCAGATTGAAAACTTGTTATACGACATACTGGGAATAATTGTTAGGAGCACAAAAAAATATTTTTCATGAACATAAGTAAATTGTTTAATCACTTCATGGTTATCTTACATGTACATAAAGATAAATTTAAACAATCCTTCTTTTAGATACTAGTGGCCTTAGAGAACCTATGGCTTTGCTATATTATTTGCATAAGGTTTTTGTAGGTTTCAGAGAAAGTATCACAGTTCATTTGTAACATGAACTAAATCCTTCCTTACTTCCTTACGTATACTTAAGAGAAAAAGCGAGTTATGTGAGAGCTATGTTAGCTGTGAATGCATGAAGTGAAGAATTTTAAGATACTGTTAAGGAAAATACACATTATTTAGCTACACATTAGAAAGAAAGTTAGTATATCTGCAAATTTATGAAGGTGATGTAAGTAGCAAAATTTTAATTCTTCCTATGTTATATTTAATCCACGATACATTTTGTAATTACATTTTTCTGTGTATTCTTACATGCAGACTTCACTGACAGTGACATATTCTGTATTTAAAGCTGGGTCGAATATCTTGATCTGGGGAGATGCCTTTAGTTTTACAGGGTAACAGGTCTGTTTGTGCCTGGGTGTCCCTGTGGTGTGGCATCAGCTGAGGTGCAGTAATACTTCTAGGACTACCACAACCTGCCTCTTAGGTAACTAGCTGAAGTTGAAGCAGTGTCTTCTGCTAAGCAGCTGATATGACCTCTGCCAATAAACAACTTGACCTGATACAATAAATAGAGGATTCTTCATTTCTTACTAAGACCGACAGTCTATTAAAATCCTGCTTGTAGTCAGTGAGTAACAAGGAAATTGCCCATTTCTATGAATTACCCATTTTATCTGCTTTATACTAACCAGCTACTAGCCAGAATCTCCCGCTGCTGAACTTCCTTGAGGAAAACTGTGATTTTTTTGGAAAAAGTTTTTCACTAACAGTTTGGCTCAAAAGTGGCTCGCTGATGTCTGTCTAATTCCTAGTATGTTTCAGAGCTACAGTTGCCTTTTAGGGATAGTCCCTGTTCCTCCTCAGATTTTTGGGGGATCTTTTTTGCCTACAGTTTTCAGTAACGCGCTAGAACAAGAAAGTAAAGGCTCGAGCGAAGGCCTTCTATTTCCTGTTTCATCCTGGGTCATTTAGTTTGAAAAGTTTTAGACTTGGATTTTCGACAGTGAACCAGCATTGGCCCAGACTTAAAACTTCTGAGCGCACTCATGTTTTCAAAATGGAAGTTTTGACCCTCTGAAACAGTATATTTCAATCAACTTTAGTAAAAAATTAAATGGATAAAGAGCCCTCCACCCAGTCTTTTGGCTTAATGAAAATTTCAGATTGATCCAAATTAAATGCTTTATTTTGATATTCCTGAAAGCTCTATGCCTTCCTTCTCCCCTTCCCTCATACGATGTAAGGAATACTAAAACTTCTCATGTAATATTTTGTGCCAATGTGTTTGTTTGAAGATCAAGTGTTTACTTCTATTGTGTTAAGATCTTCCAATATAGAATCACTTCCAGACTTTAAAAACTAAATATTTCATTTTTCACTCAATCTGCATCAGACCTATGCATTTAGATGCATCTTTCACTTAATCTCTATGTTATAATTGACCAGCTCTTTCTCTCTTTGATCTATAATTGAAACATGGTGATCTAGTCAGTCAGTTCTGATTTGCTGAGTATGGCTTGAGTATATTTCATATTGGCCCATACATTAGGTATCAAGACCTAATTCTGACATGTAATAAATACAGTCTTTCAGCTTTAAGAGGCAGAGGACATGAATTCTGTTGAAATTGGCTCATTAATATTTATTTTTTTTTTCTTCAGAGTGATTAATGAACTGTTTCAAATTTTGATAGCAATTAATGCATCAGTGATTCTAACAGACACAGAAAAGATGATTATGAGCCAGCAAATAATGGCTCGCTTAGGCACGCAGCAGTCTCTGCAGTTTTAAATGTGAATTTCATCACAGTAAGTATTTTTATGAATTTTAAAGAAGCAGACAGAGAAAAAAAATCTTTAAATGTTTGAAGTGTGATATATACATATGCAAATGTTAATATGAGAGTCAACAGGGTATCCTGCTTAGTGATACATGTATTTTTACAGCTCTTTATCTAATCATGTGTATGTTTGTGTAAATAACTATATGTAAAGGATTTTTTTCTAATGTGGCATGGATATCTATATTTAAATCTAATGTATATTCATACTTTAAGCTCTGTGTGATGTGGAAAGACCACTAATGCCTATATAACATGACTTCCTTTTACAGAACTCTTTTTTCCAGTAATTTATAACCTCTTCACTTTTCTGCTTGGGTCAGCAGAGCAGTGCCAATCTCCAGTGCTGTTTCCCTTTGTTCTTCCTGTTTCGAATTCACACCTTTAATTCCTGCCTCCCACAGCTCCACTGACTGACAAATAAGTGCAGCACCTGTTCATGGTCTCTATACCTGGACATCATTCTATGCTATTCTGCAGAATCTAGTGGAGATGTGTGGGTTGTGCAACTATTCACATATTTACATACGTTCACATATGTTATATATTGAGGTATATTTAATGACAGTTCTGTTCAGTGTTCCTGAAGTCTATATATGTCCATTTATGTATTGTTTATGCTCAGTGGACCCTATGCTTTTTAGCTGGTAGGAGTTGGAACAGAATTTTTTTAGAAGACTACTTGTGTGTATGCTCATGCAAATATAGTGTAATAGAGGTTTAAGAGAGCTGCATCATACAAAACAAGAACAGTATTCATTATTAAGATAATCTGAAAAAGATGATACTATGTAGTTGTTAAGCATTGGATAACAGGTAAAAATGCTTATTGCTACAAAGGACTTTGTAGCTTCATCGTATGCTCCTTTTTGCGCTCAGCCTGAGTTGCCACGTGTTGGTCTCTGAACTTGCGTATAGCTAGGGAAATCCCCATTGAGGGAAACTGTGCAGGCTAATGAATGCACAAGAGCTTTGTAAGACATGTAAGCCTTATTTAAGGAAAAACAAACAAACAAACTAAAAACGTATGGAAACTTGTTTACAAGTTGTAATAAATTGTTTCATGTTAACTCCATTCTGTTATGCTAGGCATTGAGTGTCAATATTAAGACAGAAGAACAAAGAGAAATTTTAGCAAGATTTACAAAGTTTTGATGTGGATGGAGCCTACTGTCCCCAGCATAAGAGCGTATTTCTGTTCCCTTTATGCATGGGTTAATGGCACGGCCCCGTGCCTTGGAAGGGCAAGTTCCTGTGACCCTCACAGGGTGGTTCAACGGCAGCTTAAGCCAGTCTCACCCTGGGTTGCCCAAGTCCTGCTCTGGTACTGTCCTCAGCTGTGTGTTTCCACCCCTTTCTCTGTGCACGCTGCTTCAGCAGCTGAAAGTCAAGCTGGTTGAGGGAGCTGTCTGCAAGAGAGAGTCTGTCTTAGCCATGGTTTTGTTTCGGTGTGTGAAGACTTGTGCTGTCACGCATTGGGTAACACAGCAACTGAGAGGGCCATTGGAGTGGAACAAACGGAGGACCTGAGGGGAGGTGAAATGGGTCTGAGGCAAGAGCTGAAGGAAGAGGGGAAAGGAACAGGAGAGAAGAGAAAGAGAAAAGTCACAAGGCTTTATAATTAAATCTTTCCTCCAAACTTTACATGAAACTATTGTTCTTAATTCCCAAAAGATCAGTGGTGTTTGGGATTAATATTGAATAAAAGAGATGAAAAGGAATATTGATTAGTTGTTCATTGTGTATTCTGGGCACCGATGATTTGGGGATCTGGAGGAAAACAAAGTATGTGAGCATGATATTAAAAGCTATATATATGCATATAAAAATGTGGGAATCGGAAACACAATAGAAAAAATTAAAATCACACAGACAAATTCTGGCATTTCCTAATTTAGGAAGTGAGGAATTTGTGCTATAGGTTTGGTAAAATTCTTGTATGTATTTTTGTATGTAATATAAGCCTACAAAAATTTGGAATGGGATTTTCAAAAGCATTATGTCTTCACTGTGTTCTAACCCATGTGGACTTTCACCGGGTCAGTTTTCCAAACAGTTGGAGGTAACGAAGATGTCCAACTTGTGGAAGTTCTCAAGTCCTTTCCCTGATCTTAGTCTAATCCTGAAAGAAGATCTAAGTTATGTGTCTTCTAAAAAATATGCATAATTATGTTGTATGAAAAGAGACTTCTGTCTTGCTCTTTTTTTAATCTGTCATTAATACTAGGAAAAAAGCAACATCTTTCTTGTGTCATAGAATGCTAGCAGGAAGAAGTTAATAGACTGTAGATCTTTATTTCCTTATTTTGCTTGAAATGAC